TATTTTATAAACAGGGATAAACTGTTAGACTTTAAATGGTATATGTGATTTATCATAAAAAAATTAACTAGAAATAATGGTGAAGGAGTAAACTGTCATTTTCCAGTTGACTGTGATGATGATTTATACATTCTGTGACAATTGTTAACCACAATATGATTTGTTAGAGGTGTAATGCATCCACAGTACTTCTTATAAAGCAAAACGTGTTTACATTTACAGATGTAAACATTACATAAATGTGTGTTGGTTAGTAAAAAGGTTGTTTATTTCAAAGCACAAGTGATTATTATTTAGTATATATTTTTAGTATTAGTAGAAGTAGTAAAGTGCTTCAGAGGCAGTTCCTGAGATAAATACAAAAAGAAATATTCACTCACTTGTTCAGCCTTTTGTTTACATATAAAAATAAATAAATAAATAGGGCTGCCCAGTTTATGGATCATAAGTATAAAAGTACACATTAAAATAAGTTTGCCACCTTAGACTGCAGTTAAAACAATTTCAGATAGAAACAAGTTTAATCTTAATGAAAATAAGGAGTTTCAAAAGTTGGCATTACAGAAACCAAAAAAACGAAAAACAAACACAGATATACAATAAATCAAATAACATAAAAGCATACTTAACAATTCTATTTTCTGTAAATGTACTATAATACAAATCAAGCATAATCCTTGTAACATTATTATAATATTGTTGCTGAAAACATCTTGTTCATCTATGTTTTTAATCTGTAAATCAATGTTTTTTTCTGTCACACCTTCTAGCAAGAATTTTACACACATTGTCACATTTACCAAACATGTGATCACACATACTTGATTTACTATTTGTCATTAAATTTGCATGTTACTTTATGTGCATCTCTAACCAGTTAGTGGTCAACTCTATATGCCTAGAATTATATCTTGGACACTTATGTTCATACATCATTATAGATTTTTTTTTTTTTTACATACGAAATTCTGTCTTTACACAGAAAAAATTTAGTAATCTATGCTCAGGTTTTAAAATTACTCTTAAATCAGCTTGTGATTAGGTTCTACAGAAGAGCCTCACAATTGATTTTTATATTTAATGATAAATTATTATATACATGTTAAGGTTAATCCTATGTTAATTCACATTGTGTTCATGAATTTGCTAATTTGTCCATGAGCTCCTCCCATAGTTTTAGAGCTAGTAGGACCAAACTTGGTAGGTGGACTCAGGGTGGAGGTCACTATTTATATGGTATAACCCTTTACCTTACCAAGTGAAGTTAAAATGTCCCTGGAAGGTCATCCAAGTATGATGGGGGTTTAGGATTAAGTTTTAAAGGATGCTGAACATTAAATTTTGTGTTTCTTGCCCCCTTAGAATGCTAGGGGCTACAAGTTTCATACTATGTTCATACCCCACTCACAAGCTAGCAAGACCAAACATGGCACATGTAATCAGGTACCACAAGCTGATGTCCTATTAGGTTTGTTTATAGAGAGTATGGACTCCCTTTGTGGTATCTACAGAAGTGATTGGGGATAATGGTAGAGCTAAATCATTATACTTGGGCCTCTGTGAATTATGAGGGGGCCTTTCAACCCTGCAGCAAAGCTCAGACATTTTATACTAGTAGTATCAAAGGAGTAAAATTAATGTTCCAAAACAAAAAATTTCTATTGTATTCTCAGATACAGGAAATCAATTATATAAACTATTGTGTTGAACTTATTCATAAGTTGATTAAATGGTAGTCTTAAACCCAAGAACAGCATATAAAATGTTTTCAAGTGGAAAGAAAGAACATCATACTTAAAAACATCTAACATAATATTTGACATAATTCCATGTATATTGGTTTGACCACTAGATGGTTAGAAACATGCCTAAACAAACATGCAAGTTTAATTTAGTGATGAATAATAAATTAACTATATATGATCACATGCTAGACAAATGTGTTGTCATACAACACAGTATCTTTAAAATTATCACTAGAGATGATGAAAAGTTTGTGTATAAAAGGAACATTGTTGATTAACACATTAAAACCAGAGCTGAATGAGATGGGTTTAGCAACAATATTACCACTAAGAATACAAGAATTGTTTGAATAAGTAACAATATTAAAAATTACTTAACAATACCACCCTCACTTAAAAACAGTGATAAAAATACAAGAAATAGAAAAGGTGTTTCCTGTTCTTGAACCATAAATATATTTATTTTTCCCATTGATAACAAATCAGTCCTACATAGTGAATCTCTTCAAAATTCAAACAACTATTTACACTAAAGTTTCAATCTGGTAATATAGAATTTGAGGAAATTCATCTTTTACTGTCTTATTTATTTAATGTTGAAACTTATTCATAAAAAAATACTCCCAGAATAGTGTAAGTAGCTGACAAACTTTAAATGTAAACAACACACTTAGTTTAAAAAAAAAAAAAGCTTCAAAATTTAATGCCAGAAAAACATCAGGAATTCTAAGTTATTGAGGTAACTGTGTAATACATAACACTTATATTACAGCCGAAAGACAAAATAACTTTATGTTTCCATTTGTAACTTATTAAAAATATGTTTTGAACATTTATATTAACTTTTGGACATGTACTACAACTAAAATGAACCCAAAAATTACACTTTAAATTTAGATATGTGGTGTAAAACAGTGCAATATCAATGTAGTAATAGTTATTTTTATTAGTCATACTGGTTTGTTATATGATAAGTACAGCAGTAGTGGATATGGGGTGGAGTTCCGGGGGTTCGAGCCCTGCCCTATTCAATAGGAAGTGTCCTCAACATGCAACATATTTTTCATTGTTTTTGTATTTTCTAAAATCTGATAAATTAATCATTATTAAAAACAACTCGTTATATAAATTTCATTCCATCATTTTTCCCTTGCAAAGCAATCCTAATACCTAAAGTAGAGTCAAATTGACTCTATATAGGTACTGCAAGCTATAATCCCCATTTCACAAAGGTGTCAGGAAAATCATTCACCTTCTTGATGCACTCTTATTCATGTAACCACATTTTTACATTGGAGGGAAACCAGAAACTGTTACAATGTTGAATGCACTTGTGAACAGACTTGGGGTTACCAACTGTCCATTTGAATGGACAAATTCCTCAAAACTGTCTATTTTGAAAAATGGCTATTCATGACTTTTTTTTTTGTTCATTAATATAACATTTATCTATTCTGAAAATGCATGTCAGTGAAAAATTTTCATTAGTCCATTAACCTAATATCTGTTTCTTTTGACTCCAAAATTTGTCCATTGCAAATTTTACAATGTTACTTGAATTCTTTATTGGTATTTAGTTCTATTCTTGCATGGATCAAGGACAATCAGGTGCATTTATGACCTTTTCCTCCTTCTTTTATGGCTGTTTATATTGTAGTATGGAAAAATACTATATTTATTACTAATGAGGGTTGTGGCTTGTACCCCGTGCATAAGTACAACATCTGACTCCTTCCAAGGCCATATCCATGTAAGTATTGCATTAGTAAACTAAATTTTACTGCTTAAATTGACAGGTTTACCTGCTAGCAGCAAGTGACTTGTTCTTTTACTTATAATATTAACCCTTTCCCTATGAATAGGTCAAAGTGTGTATGTCATAACCTTTTACAGTTACATTTTGTGGTTGTTACAATGTCAGTAAAAATGCCTGAGCCTGTGTACATAATATTAATAAGACACACGTAAAATACTTTGTCTTTAACATAATTTCACCAAAAATATTGACACAAAATGAGTTTGAAGATGCTTGACTCAAATGTTCATATTAAGACCATCATCTCATTTAATGGAAAATGATGTAAAATATTTTATTATTTCAAAGTCTATGTTGAACCATTTTCCTTCAGATATTTATTCAGACCAAAACCTATCTGAGGAGTAGAATGGGTGAAGCATGACTAGCTGTTTTATGCTTGATGAATATGCATCATGATCTTCAGATAAACACTGATGATGTAGTAAGAGAGCATTGTAAGAGAAACAATAGACACATATATAATAAGGATATGTTACTTGATTAAGTCATTGTATTTATATTGCTAGTGACAGTCATTAGAGTTAAGGTGTTTTTCAGAAGAGCTTTTATTAACACTCATTCAATACAATTCAATATAAATATTACTGCTTATTAATTTTCCATTAGAATATAACTTTTATATATTTGAGTAGTAATGGAAATAATGATATCTTGTTTGTCTAATTTTTAATAATGATTTAGTTTACAGTTTTGTGCACTATGTGTGAAATTATTTGTTTTATATAGTCTCTTGTATGCATTTGATACATGTAGTTCTTTGAATTTGTTCATTTATGAATTTGTATATAGACACCATTTTGAAATGCTGATTATTTTGTCAACAAGTGTTTGTAATTTGTATATGATAAATATCAAAATACCAATGAACAATGTTTCGATATTACCCTTATGCACACATCAAATTGCCCTAATACATACGAATTATGATACTTCAAAGAGTTATCAGCATCTTATACCTAAGGCCACCAAGCACATCCCTAGAAAAATTAAAGCACTTAGTAGGATAATAAGCAGAAATTTCAAACAAGCATGTTATGAAAACCTATATTTTCAAGGTTGACTACTGATTGAACCAGTGAATTTTCTCTGAAACACTCCTGCATCCAGTTCAGACTGTTAAATCACAAATATACATTTCAAAATCACAAATATATTATTGTTGTTATATGTGTGCCCTTTTACAGGCTGAATCCCACCCTTCAAAAAATTCTGTATCTGCACCTGTATGGATTTCGTTTTGTTCACGCCACATACTATGTCATACTTTTAAAGTATTCTTTCATTGCTTTGTCATTTCTCTAAATGTTATCTGTTCTGCTGAAATTGACATAATATTTTCTTTTAATTAGATTTTATCTGTTCAATTTAGATTTGTTCTGTTAAATAGAAAAATTATAAGAAAAACATTTACTAGATACAAAAGAAGGACAACCTACCTAAAATCTCTCTTCATTGCCATAGGAACTGTGAAGCTTGGGATAGCTGCCAACATTTCCCATTGAAATTCTTCTTCATTAACTTCAACAGAACTACTTCTATCATCCGCAGTCTGCAAAAATAAGTATATATGTACAAATCAATGTAACCAATACTTAGAAGATTTGCTGAAACACTTTACTAGACTAGGTACTAATGCACTCATTAAACAAATTTCAATAAAATCTTTAAAGAAAAGAAAAAAGCTTGGATTTTGAGTATAAATAGCCTACTATAATATTTACCAATAAGTTCCCCTTGCCCTAGTTACTTGAGGAACAAGGGAATTCAATTAAAGTATCACATGTACTTTATTATGTGGACGATTGCTGTAACATAGGGCACATTGTATAGAGATCTTTTTCATTGATAAGTCAGGTGATGCCCCATGGATACAACATCCCTTTCTTTGTAGTGAGAATGGCCATGTGTCATGTGGGCAGTTTCTGCAACCTGAGAAGAATGGCATTTTGTTTTTTGCTTTATAATGCATGTTTTCTCAGTCTGGAATAATATTAGATTAAGACTCAGGATATACGATTCACCTGATTAAGATTTACATACAGATGAATTTGCTAGCTCTCCAGTAAAGATCTACAAAAGATAGATTTGTTTTAAACCTTGACTGCTATTTGTTGGAAATTCAAATTTAACTTGTGTCAAGTTTCTTTTTTTGCTTAAAACTCAGTTGAGGTTGGAGAATTCAGATTTTGCTCCCTAAAACAATTTCTGTCAAAACTTCCTGTTATTCTGCATCTCCTATATGATTACTTGGAGGGAAATCAGCAAATCTGAGAATACCACAGAGTATGTAAGATAGAGAAAATTTGGTGTCATAAGCACAGAATTTGTTTTTGTAGATTTGTCTGTTTTGTTCTTGATAAGTGTATTTTCCATTGCTCTCCTGAACTCTCATGATATTGAGTTGAAGCTTTGCTCTTGAGGAAATGGCACTTTCCAAGAGTCGAAGGGCTTGTAACCTGGTGGAAGAGTTAGATGTTAAGGAGCAATGGTTGTCAAAGGAGAAATAATGGAATCTGGTGTACCCTGAATGACCTGTCAGATTCTCTCCTGAGGTTTAACCTCAGTGCACAAGGGGACTACTGAAAATCATTGCAATAATGCAAGGTTTGGCAAGTCAGAAAGTGGATAAATGGTCTCTACATAACTCCCAGGCATTTTCAGACCAGAGTAGATCAATCCTGGCTTTGGTCGATGCCATTCATTACCAACTGAGAGAGACTGGAGGTGATAATTGTAGACTGCATTTGCCAGCTTGAACTTTTCATCAGAGCAAACAAAATCTGGTGAAGGTGGTGATACAAGGGGCAGAATTGAGCTTCTCTGTGTCAAGAATCAATATGATATCCAACATTCTGCAAAAAACTGCTCACCCTTTTTAGCTGAGCAGTGACAAAAGTTTGGTAGAGCAAACTACACAAAGTTCACTTGACTCATCTACATGCAATGAAGTGTATATAATTCCTCTATGTGAAGTCTGGGAGTTGTGTTCTTTACCACCACAGAATTTAAATCAGGTGATTATGGATCTGCATGGAATGGCCATTGTTTCACTGGATTTACCTGTATTTATTTTTCTGAATTCCAACTAAAGTGAGTGGATCAACTCGTGAATGGTAATACAATATCTTGCTAGTTTGGTTATTGCTGTTGTCAGCTGTCTAAGGCAGTAAATACATATTTACTGGGGTTATTGTATTTATCCTAGGTTGTTCGGAGTGGGTACTGATATGTACATATAGTAACAACAGCACAAAAGTTAATCCTGGCTTAGAAAATTTTAGCTGAAAAGTTTTAGTTTGGCTGAATGCTGGTGGTAGTTATTTATTTTGTGATGGCACTGTAGAAATCATAGCTAATGGAGGTTGCCCTTGTAGATTACTATGGTAATGGCATGCGAGCCTGAGGCAGTCTATCTATAGCTATTTAATGTTGAGATATATGTATATGGCAATATATGTGCATGACAAAATATGTATGTGGTGTTGCACATGTGTATGAATGTTACACAAAGTAATTCATGATCAATTACATTAAAAACATAACTGTCATGCAACATATGAATATAAAGAAAGAATTTGAACTGTATATTAAGATTTGGAGATGTTAAGTTAATTGCAATTACTGTCATGTAAAGCATCATTTGAAGATACAGTATTCCCGATATTTTGATTATTGCTGGTGAGAGAGTGCTTCAGTTTCAGTCACTCAGATTGAGGTATTTTGATAACTGTTACTAAATATTTTCTTAATGTTGTTTCAAGAACAAGGTACAGTTGAAATGCATGAAAGTTAAAACTGTGAGTGTACAACCAGAGGCAAAAAAACGTAATAATGATTCATAGTTGCCTTTAGTTGAACTAACTTGTATCGGAAAAAAGTCTGATAAAAAATGAGATGTTAATGTCAATGAATTTCCATTGTCAGGAGATCAAGATCAGTATCTGTGTGATATCTGGTTTAATATGGACATCTCATACTGGACACAGCCTCTGTTTACATAACAACCAGATAGTACTGAAGGGAATGTGGCTGGGTTCCAGGGTAGCTGTGTCAACTAAATATTGATTAAATGCAAGACCCAGGATGTTCACAGGTGTGAGAGATACACTGTTTACAGGTGATATACAGATATGTACACATAAATCTGTAGCAATGTCACTTGACCATGGTTATAGTCAATGGCTGTGGCTGGTACATCACAACATTTTAAACCTAAATGTCTAACTGAACTTCTGACCAATCAAAATTCATGTGATTACACATCTTTCATTCCTGACTTTTTATTTATGATGAAATCATTCTATCTTTTTTTTATCTTGTTTTTGATTGGATTTGCCAGAATTTTTGAACATACATTAATTTTGCTTGCTTAGTGATCTTTGTTACCACATGCAATGATACACTCCAAATGATGGTTTATAGAGCACCTTGAAGAGTAGAAGAAATCTGGAGACCTTTTGGCTTGACTGAGGCACATGTGAAGCCCATGAAAGATGTTCTGCTGATGGGGTCTTTCCAACAGCCTTTTCACAGAGTTTGTGTTAGAGACAAGTCCTCTCACACTCACAATTCCACCACTGAACCAAGGTCAACCAGGAACACATCACTTCCCATGTTATTCCAGGAACAAAACAGACTTGCCAATGTTAGGTCCTAGTATAACATCCTTCTTATTGTTTTAGGAATGTTAAAAAAATCATAAATTGTATCTCTCTAGAGCTCGAAAGTTGGAAGCTGAGATATTGAAGGAACTACAAGTCGGCCAGAAAATTCCCAAACATTTTATCATTTTGCACTTTTCAGACATATCTTTCATTATAAAAGTTTGCATCACTAGTGAAGTGGCTGTATAGTCTTCTAACACTTCACATGATGCTGTTACAGTGTCAAAATCTGGTTCTTCAACAATTACAACTTTGTTCCAAACACCTTCCATCAGTAAATTGTCAGATTTTCTGGTGAAACATCCTATACAACCTATAACTCATATTTGTTCCAAAAAAGGCATATTTTCAATCATATGAATTGTGTGGTCCTTTAAGCAGTGTGTAGTTTTCATTCCATGCTGAAACTGCATCTCTCTTTTGCACTATTCTTTTGCATTTGTACATGTATGAATAGTTTTCTCTTGTGATAAAGAATTTAAAGACTAGAAACAAATATATCAATGTATAAAATATTAAATTCACAAACAAACAAAGTTTTATTATACACAGTTAAAATCTGTATTTAAACCAATCAATGATTGTAAAAGTCACTTTGCATGTTTCAACTTGGTTTCACGTCATCTTCAGGAGTGTGAAAAACAGCTACTGTATGCTATATGGTCATGTGACTACAAGTGTACAATTCAAAAAAGAAGATCACACCATCTAGATACTTTCTGATTTTCTAACCCTTCATCTTTATTTAAGATCAAGTTGTTTTTGCTCTTTTTTATTATTTCCATGGTTTATCTAATATTCCTAGCAGTAATATTATTTAGTTGAGCCAAAATAACAGTTTTTTCCCACTGGATGATATGTCCAGTATAATTTACATGTTCAGCTAATGCAGAGTTCTCACCCTTGTTTTTAACGTTTCACACTCCTGAAGATGACATGAAACCACAGTGAAACATGTAGAGTGACTTTTACAACCGTTGATTGGTTTATATAAAGATTTTAATTGGGTATTAAAAAATGTTGTTTGTTTGCAAATTTAATATCTTAAATATATATACAAGTTTTTTAAATTTTAACCTCTTAATATATCAATGTATGCATAAACATGAAGGATCAATAGTTCACTCACACTTTGTCCAAGCCTACTTCAGAAACAAAACTGGAACCAGTGCATAGCATTTTGTAAAAGATCAAGTAGAAAACTAATGAAATGATTTGAAAAATTGGCAGCATGTCATGTCACAAGTGATAAATGATGTGAAATTAACTGGTAAGCATGATATCATATATCAGTCAAAAAATTAAAAATAACATATCTGATGACTGACAAATTGCTGAATTATGGAACCTTCACTGAAATATTTTATTGGTGGCAGAAATGTTCCAATTCTTGCAAGCCATGTCAGCCAATTTGTTATCAAAGGCAAAAGTCTCAAGCTGAATCATTTATTGGATGGCAAATGTTGGGATCAAAAGTCATGGACATTTAATGACATTTTTCAGTGCAACTACTCTACAAAATATCATAGTTATCATTTGGGAAATGACTCATTTGTTTCTGATATCAAAATAGGTGGTATTTACCAAGGCTTCAGAATCCTAATGACAATGAGCACAATGTACACGACAGATTCAACACCCCACCACCTGCATTTTGTTGCAGAAATTAGACTATCACTGAAGTTAAAGGTTGTTGAGGAAATAAAGAAAGGGTATTTTACCTTCTCTTTTGTCTTAACTGAAACATTACCACTTAACCAATATTGAACCACCATCATCACCCCACTCACTCCACCCAGTCATACAAATTTTTCGGAAAGGTAAAGGGCTGTGAACTTTAAATTGACACTCTGCAGCCCTGGCATGCACACAATTATGGTGGACAAACTAAAAATTTTTCTTTCATACCAATGTGTCACTGCTGTCAGATACATGATTTAAGGTGGAAGAGGTTGGTCTTATGTGTTTAGCAAGTACAGTCAACATTTGGAAGAGATTTTTTTTTCAGAACTCTAAAATAAACTCTCTAAAGATGAAGTACCAGTCAATAACTGTGTAGCATATTATTTCGATGGAGCACTCAATATGAGTCAGATGTAAAATGGAGTACAAACCTATTTAGATAATGAAACACCTAACCATGTTCATGCTTGCTGGAATGTTCATATCCTCAACTTAGTAAACTGTGATTCAACAAGTTGGTATACTGCATCTGTAGCTTTGTTCAGTTAGTTACAAGAAACATCAGTTTTTTCAGGGAACCCTACAAAGAATGTACAATGGAAAAATACGACTGATCAAAATTGGAGCAACAAGATTGATCAGTAAAAGTGATGCATTAATGAAGGTTTCTGGCAATTTCTCTTTGTGGCAAACTGATTAACAAAACAAGTTGGTTAACTTCAATAAACTGCTTTTATATCTGTATATGATCTATGCTCTAGAATACATATATTATCCACATCAGATAAGTTGTATACAAATAAGATGATTACAAGGAGAAAAGGACAATCATGCATATACTGTATAGTAGTCATCCATAAAACAAAAATCAAAATTTGATTTATGGTGTTATTCTACTCATGTCTGGGTTGTTAGCTGAGGTAAATACAATATGAGAGGATATTGACAATACTTACAGTATACCAAGATAGAGAATTAATTATTTTTTCTGTAAAAAAAAATAAAAAATAAAACCTAAACCCACTCAGAAGATATAATGTAAAGCACTAAATGTGAAGAGTATGAAAGCTTACACATAAGACAAACTGGATGCAACCCAACATCAAACTGATGTACATGGTCAAGCTCCTTCATGTTTATCAACATTATAGAGATACAAGGTATCAAAGTGAAAGTAAAACTGAAAATGACTTGTTAGAAAAATGCATAATTTAACTGACAATATTTTAATATTGTTTCCTGCATTTTACATTTATTTTGAGTTATAAATGTAAAATACAAGAAACAATTTTAAAATATTGTCAGTTAAATTATGCATTCCATTTGATTAAGAGTTTTAGAAAGAGTTTGGAAGCTGGTATATTTAAATTCATGTTAATCTGAATCACATTAAATTTTATATTTTTAGAATTAAAACGAATTTTAAACACACATTTACTTCTGAAATAAGAAAAGCCTTTCCTTGTTAAGTTGTTCTCATGCTGTCAACAAAAATGTGACTAAAGTTATGAATGTCCTTGAAACAATGCAGGCCATGCAACAACTAGCTTACCTATAGTTTTCCATCCTCCCATCTTCCACGTAAATTATTGTACTTGAATCAGGAGGACATATATAAGCTCTGATTTACTGCCATGATCCAAACTTCATAGTTACAGTTCATAATCAAAGTTAACATTCTCCTTATCTGAAATGTATTTCTTATAAATACCTCCATGCAAATAATAGTTTGATCCCTTGAGCATCTGTTTATGAAAATTTGCATGCCACTAGCCTTGTAGTTTATTTTTGGTTTTTTTTTTGTTTTTTAATT